ATATTTCAAGTTTTTGTCAAATTCACACATACCATCACAAAATGCACGTTTATATTATCATAATATTCAACACCTTTCTTTGGACGGTCTGACGCCTTATGTAACGACTCACCATCAGCATGCTGCGACTTTCTTCCTCACTGACAGCTTCTCAATCACAGAACTGACTGACAAAAAGCAACATGATGACTGTTTGAAGGAGAGGCTTTGATTTCTGAACCCAAACCAAGACGTGAATAAATTTCCCTAAGGCAACTCAGCTTTAAAGTGTCTTTCACTTGAATTTAAATAAGCTATAAAATACTTTTAATAACAAAATATTATGATATTTCAACTCCTCTTCTTATTTTCATAATCTAAAGTCTTAACTCCAATACAAATACTGCAAGAACAGAGAAGTTTTGTTCTTTTGCCGGAGGTAGCAATCGCACAGTTCTTCCTGGTCAGGATCTTCGATACTTAACAAGAAAGTTTGTACATAATAATGTGTATATGGGAGGAAAAAAAAGACGTACTGTCCAGAAGCTGCACGAGATCCAAATTATTCTGGGAGAGAGAACAAATGTCTCTGTTCTTGTAGATTATGTATGGGCCTTAAGTGAAGCTATGATATGATAACACATGGCAGCTCCTGCCATAGAGGATCCATGTTACACTCTGCACCAATCAGTGCTCTTGCTAAGGACAACCTAAGAAAAATAGGGGCAAAACTTTGACTCTAAATATGCCATGTTGCACACACCCACTACAAATTGACAAGTTTAGTCTACTCATTTGAAACTGGGACTTTATATTAGTCAGTAATGTCAGCATTTATGATGATCTACAAATGCAGAATGGTTGGAAAATTACATTTACTTGATTGTTTGAGAATCATTCTGGGGTTTTTTACAGACTTGATGGATAAAAAACTCAGGTTGAACAAATTTTGGCTACACAGTATTTGCTGACATTTGTCTGTTAATAATAATAATAATAATAATAATAATAATAATAATAATAATACATTTTTATAAGACATATAGAATGCATGGTGTGACCTTTATGTTGATGTGGAAACAAAAATCTGTACTTAATAACCTCTTGTTCCAGACTCCAAAAAACATATATTTTTTAACTTATTGCCAGAAAACGTCTGGGTGGTTTTGCATAATATCATTTAGATAAATGTTTTTTTTTTGTTTTTGTACTGTGAACATTCTCTCTTTAACAAATGGACTTCAAACAGATTGAAGATATTCATGTAACGTTCCTAGATTGCTGTACAGTAGCAATTTCTTCACTATTTGGTTTCCTTATTTAGTTAATCCTTCAGTTTTATTCTGTTTGTATTTATTTTCTGCTGAGTTGCAGTCTTTGGTTATAATTATTCTCTTTAGAGATTGCAAAAA